ACGGTATCCCTGTGCAGCTATGTATTAATTTCTAATAGGGTCATGCAGCATGGCTCCATTATCACTATTTGTACCATTGGTTCGAACGGAGATAGGGAGATACGGGTCGTATCGATGGAATTCAATTGGTGAATCATTAACTTGGCGTCATGGTTATGAAATGAGACAGATTTTATGAGATTTGCCCGTGAGTGTCAGTGTGAGAAATGTTATTTATGTGGTTGGTGGGATGTGTATTGCTTGTGGAACCGTGCACTAATTTGTAGCAGTCTCCTCTTGTCGTCTTCATTTTCACGCATGATTCTATTGATGCAAATGGTGAGAGCATTATTCCGGCTTTATATACCGTGAATTCTTAAATCAAAGAAATTCATATTGCATAGAGAGTTTGTTTTATGGAATGTGCAGGCAGAGTTGAAAGTTATCTGTTTCTTCATTATTTGCTTATACCTTGTAAGTTATATGGCTTATTAAGAATAAATGGTTGGAGGTTGGTCTATTCATTGCGATGTAAGCGCTACTTCAACCTAAAAGATATCTATTTTCGTCGAGATTTCGGCTCACCGAAACATTATCAAGACTGAATGAAGAAACGTTTTCCAAAACAACATAAAAACAATGACCGCGCGCTCTGAGAAGATCTCATAAGCGCGCGCGGAAACTTACTTCTAATTACACAAAGATAATTTTGCATTAACATTCTTTTGAACGGTGTCACATTTTCATTTGTTCAAAAGGGTTTCATAATAAAGTGGGTCTTTATAGCATTCATGGTTATCCATGGATTCATAGTTATTAATACAGCCTATTCTTCAACAAAGTGGTCCCCTATACCTCTTGCGTGATTCAGACAGTCAGATTGTTTTTTGCGTGATGCGCTGAGGTCATAGGGCTTCATAAATTAAATATCACCTAGCAGAAAAGCACAACAATATATGGAGAAACGTCGCGTGAAACTTTTCGATCAATGTATTTACGCTACTCTCAGAAGTGAAGAAGAGAGATTGAACGTAAACTGCACATGTGCCCCTAAAATATGTGAGCACTAAGGCTGAACAGTTCAGTGAAAATGTGAAGATATTTGTTGTAAAAGAAATATATCTTTAATCAATGATAAACGATGTCATGAATTTCTACCTGATTTTTGATTGTTATTCAAGTACACCGTGACAGGCCGGCTGCACTCGTGCGCCATTAAGATGTTGATAAGTGATGGCTTATTAAAACTCAATCCAATTAAGCTCGCAGTTTCAAATGCCCATGAACGAATTCCGGTGATATTTCATGCAGCTCATCAAATCCATTCCAACCAAGGTTAAATAATTTTTCGAAATAACTAAAGATGAACATAGCATTTGCAAGAGAACATCGCAGTTCAAGTGGAATGCAAATCGTGAGAAATTTTTTGCTGATATAAAGTTTATGTTATACCAATGGATCGATTGCTATCTATTCATGACCTCGGGATGTTGTTGTAGGGGTGAGGAGAAATCGTCATTAAGACAGGGATCCCAGATGGATTTAAGAGCGAAGCAGGTATGGATTATTTGATGGATGGTTTGTTGTGACGTCAACCAATTGAATTCCTCATATACGAGTGGAGTTTACCTTATACCAATGGATCGATTGGTATCTATTCGTGACCTCGGGATGTTGTGGTAGGGGTGAGGAGATCTCGTCATTAAGACAGGGATACCAAATGGCTTTAGAAACGAAGCATGTATGGGATATTTAATGGATGGTTTGTTGTGACGTCAACCAATTGAATTCCTCATATACGAGTGGAGTTTACCTTATACCAATGGATCGATTGGTATCTATTCGTGACCTCGGGATGTTGTGGTAGGGATGAGGAGATATCGTCATTAAGACAGGGATCCCAGATGGCTTTATGAACGAAGCATGTATGGATTATTT